TTCACCATATATTCTTTGAACCTTTTAGCTGTAACGATTATGTCGTTGTCAGTTATGATCGTTTCTGATATGCCGAATCTGGTCACGATGTTTTCTTTTACAAAATTGCAAACTTTCTTGGATGTTAATTCAGCGTATGATTTTATTTCGACCCACTTAGTGAAGTAATCAGTTGCCACAAGTATCCATGCATGTTTTGCCGCTCTAGAAGATGGTGTAATTTTACTGATTACATCAATGGCCCATCCTCTAAACGACCATGTCTTGGTGACCAAGTGGAGTAATTTGGCTGGGACTCTTTGTATAGGCCCGTAAATTTGACATTGTACACATCCCCATGCATACTCGATACAATCTTTTAATATACTCGGCCAGAAATAGCAGTGTCGGTGAAGCAACCAACGCATCTTACGTCCAGATTGATGATCTCAAAAGATTCCTTTGTGTAATTCCGTAATTGCTTGGGCAACCTCCCGCAGGTCGAGGCACAATAACAATAACCCATCCTCGCATTTCCAATATAACTCATTCTAGTACAACACGTAATTTTTGGCATGGACCCTAGTCATGCGGTCGTGTTTGTCACTGGGGTTATCGAGATATCGCATGATGACCTTCTTTAGTTGTTCGGTAATGTCTCGACTGAACACACGTCTACAGGATCTCCTCGGTCTAGTAATGAAGGTAAGGACATCGCTCGTGTTTGGATCATGTGGTCGTGTTAGAGAACTTGTTGATTAACCAAGGCCGGGTGTGATCGTCGTATTACAGGTATTGCCCGGCCTATCTCGCCCCCTAGGAGTTGTGCTCTAGAGGCTATTTGAGCCATTTTGTCTATGTCGGTGTTTCGAATGTGAGAAATGTGTTTGAATGTGATACCGTTGAACGACTCAGCCAAATAGTTGGTAACTATGTAACATGGCGCCATAGTACAACTCATGCAACGAAGAATTCCATTGAGTTGGTTAATCACAAGTTCTAAATCGACGAGGATGAGTATGCTAGCTGCCCTCAAGTCGTGTAGGACATTAAGACCGATGATAAGGGCTTTGTATTCGGGCTAATTATTTGTACAATCAAAATCAAGCTTGAGAGAAAAATACCAACGGTGTTGAATAGGCGATTGAATGACGATCCCAACACCAGTAGAGGTTGAAGTACTAGATCCATCAAAATAAATTGTCCAATGATTATCACGTGTTTCCACTATGCCGATTTCGACATTGTTGCCCCCGAAACCATATGGAGAAGGATGTTGAGCTAAGAAATTGGCTAATGTTTGTCCTTTTACAGCTTTCTATCACACGTATTGCAAACTGAATTCGAATAGTGCCATTGTCAATTTCCCAATTCATTCTTTGACCATTGGCCGAGTGAGTATATACCGAATAACGTCGATTTAGGCGATGACCTAAGTGATGGAAGGAAGCATATAATGCCAGAGTTTAGACGCATAAAAAAACATAGCCAAGCATAGTTTTTCGACGGCTGAATAACTGATTTCAGGTGAGTTAAGATTCCGACTGAGATAAAAGATGGCATGTTCACGCCCGATATCATTATCTTGTGCAAGGAGGCAACAAATGGACTTTTCGACCGCTGGAATGTATAGCTTAAGAGGTTTACCACGCCGAGGCTGTACAAGGATGGATAGGGTTGTAAGGGAAACCTTGATTTGAGTGAAGGTCATTTGATGTTCTTCAAGCCACTCGAACCTGTTCGAATCCTTGAGTTCAAAAGTGTAGAGAACACTTTCATTTTTCCTGCCGAATTAGTTATGAAATGGCAGAGAAAATTTATCTTGCCGAGTAAAGGCTGGAGTTGCTTTTTGGTTGTTAGGGGTGGAGCGTCGATGACTGAGCGACGATGACTAAGCGAGCCTTATTTTTGTCCACCTCGATATGACGATGGTGTATAAGGAAACCCAAGAAGTTGCCGATCGATACACTGAAGGCGCACTTGGCCGGGTTCATTTTGAGATTATGTTGGCGTATACGAAGGAAAGCTTGCCGAAGGTCATCGAAATGTGTTCGGCGGCCCTTTGATTTAACTACCACATCGTTGATATACACTTCTATGACCATACCAATCAAGTCATAAAAGATGGTAGTCATAGAACGTTGGTATGTGGCACCAGCATTTTTAAAGCCGAATGGCATGACTACCAATTCGTATATCCCGAGTGCCCTTGGGCAGCGAAAGGCAGTTTTTTGAACATCGTCTTCGACGATAAAGATCTAGTTGTAGCCAGCATGGCCATCTATGAAGGACAACATTTCATGATGGTAACTCCAAGCAAAACAATCTTTAAATTTGTTGAGTAATTTACAAAATTCTGTTTTCATGGGTTGGGATAACAAAGCCCTAATGATAACAACCAAGGGTCATTGACTGTTCCAACATTTATTTCCTTTAAAGGGTCTTTGACTTAGGGCCAACTATCTTCGAGCTCGACCAGGGCAGCTATCATGGGAAATGACAGGACCATTATCTCATTCGGCGAGAAACTCCACAAGGTTTACTCCTAAAGTTGGTTGTTTGGAAATAGTAAACCAGTGAGCCAACAGTCGTTCCATGGTAGATGAAACTATAGCCCGGCGTTCGGCCTGTTTGGTGTCAGACATCGGGATCAGTAATAAGGTTAGCCAACCCGAGTCTCGTCGAATCTTGGTGAACAGTCTCGGCGCCAACCTTGATGGCTTTCTGAACTGAAATCTAAGTAGGCTGTCTTTCATCGTTGAGACCTTGTAAGGTGATGTAGTGAATGTGGTCATCGTAGTAGCGTGCCTGGATCATGTTAGCTTCGAACGGCTGATTGTTGGCCAGATGAACCATGACCGATTTATCATCCTAGAACATGAGGACTTGATATAAAGACGAAAGGATACAGGCCGTTTGATGGATCCAATCCCGACCGAGCAATACCTTATATTCAATCATTGAGTTGACTATGAAGAACGCAGTTATGTGATTGCGACCTACGATATTTACTTCTAACGGAAGTACCCCTTTGGTCTAAGATTTATTGCCGACGAAGCTACTCATGGTAACCCCTAATGGAATAAGTTTGTCCTTAGAGAGATGTAGTGTTTTCATGATGGAAATGGGCATGATATTAACCGTTGCTCAGCAGTCAACGAAGATTTTGGAAACTTGATATCCTTTGATGTGAGCCGTAACATACAACGACTTCAAATGATGGATATTGGTCGAGGAAGAACGTGGAAATAGCTCGATAAGAGCTGCTTTGAGTTTGTCTTCCTTGCTTACTTACTCGTCCTCTTCAACGACAATAAAGTCAACTTATGTTACTTCTTTAGCAACCACGTCACCATCCAAGAAATTTGGTTGAGATGTGGTTGGCTGAAATTCAGCCGATAGAACTTGGACCATATTAATTTCTATATTTTTGAGAACTGAGGGGCCCATTGGGTCATGGTCGTCGTCTTCAGATTATTAAGCAAAGTACCCTATTTTTTAATGTCCTCAACCTGATCATTTTCAAGTAATTGTTTATGTGGTACATCCACCGTATCTATTTCATTCTGATAGCTATCCTCGAGCTCATTCGATGTTGGAGATCAGTCTTGTTCCTGCGACGTCTTACGAGTACACTCCTGATAGGCGATTCGAGCATCCCTTCTGTCTAGGTATGCATTTAACCATGCCATATATTCTTTCTCATTGATCATCAGGCTGAAAAGAGATACGGCTGGGAAGACTTCAAAATGGTATCGTACATATTGAAGGTCCTCGAGGGAGAAAGGAAGCTCGATGGTATCTATATCAGTATATGGATCGACCTCGAAACTGAAAAATCGAGTTTCTCGTATATGCTGGAACCTGGCCTTCATCCCTAGATCAGTGGTCTTTTGAATAATCTGCTTAGTTTCAAGGCACGTTAGTGCCAGGTCAAGAGCTTCTTGACACACCTTTGGTAGGCCGTACAGGTCATTAGCGGAATATTTCTTGTGAAACTCCCACCTGTACTCCAAGGCTTCGCCGAGAAATTGGGGGTGTAGATTTCGTCGGACTCTTATTAATGGCTCTTGTGAAGGCAACAGGGGAAGTTTGCTTTCCGTTTCCTTCTTGAATTGTTCGAGATGAACTTTCATATTCTTAGGCTAAAGAAGGAGTTTGATGCGCTTCTCAGATTCTTTTATTGTGGTCTCAAAGTCGTGATTGATCACCTTCTTTCCTTGAAGTAATTTGGCCATGATTGCTGGGGGTTATCGGTCAACTTCGTTACCTGTTATTTCTTTCGGCTGCCATTTGGTAGCCGAGGTAGCCCGAGTCACTTGTTGGTGGGCCATGCAGTCTATTTGCTGACGTCGACGTTTCTGCGATTTAGAGAGAGCAGTATACACACTGGTAAAAGAATTATAACTATACCACCGTTGGTTACGTGGCTTAAGCGGTTTGAAGGTTTTCTAGCTCGCAGATGAACTTGAGCTACTAGAGTTGCCCGTTTAATAGTCCTCTTTATAAAACGGCGTGTTAAAATCAAGGCGTTATCTGGCTGAAGGTGGCCCGGTGATCCGTGTTTGAGGGCCTAGCCTATTGAAAACTCCCTAGCGTTGGCCTGCGCTGAGCACTTTTTAAGGTGTCGTTATGGCCATTGAAGGCGGTCGTTGTATTGTAGCCTGGGGTGGTGTCTCTTTCGGCTCGGTGAAGATGACGTTTTCCTTACACTGACTGCATAAAACCACTGGTCCATCTACTTCCTCTGCGCTGGAGTCTAACATGGGCTTGACGATAGCTGGTCCCGAAAAATCTTTAGACGACTCATTTGAAAATAAATCAATCTTGAGCCGAGGTCGAGAGTTCTGCTTTGGGATGTGTTGTGTTGGAACGAACTCGGCTTTTTCTTTTCTTTTATCCACGAGTAGACGACCATCTACCATGTTTATTGTCGCCGTAGAAAATGGATCAGTGTCGATGCTCATTTTCTTTTCTGGGAACTTGAGTTTGCCGTTATCGATCAAGCTTTAGATGGCGTCTCAAAACACAACACAGTTGTTCGTTGCATGCTTGTCCGAGTTATGGTATTTGCAATAATGTTTCCCTTTTAAGTCATCGGCCTTGGGAATATTATGTCCCGGTCGAAGCTTGACAATTTTCGCTATCAGTAACTGGTCGAAGATGGCGTCAGCCTTAGTTATGTCAAAGGTGTAGACCTTCAATGTTTTGACGGCCACTTCTACACTGGCCGAGCAGGTTTTGACATCTTTGGAGTTGGCGTGTACCAATGCCTTGCATACATAAGGTTTATCAATCACTATCTCGGCCATGTCTATGTTGACACATTGGGGTTCTTCAACTTCGACCGATACATAACTAACTGCATGGTTCTTATAGATCGTCCCTCGAGATAAAGACTTCGAAATCTTTTCTTCTCGGAGCAAATAATCATATTGTTCGACGTGCTGAGCCAGCTCATACATATCTCGAAAATTTACCCTTAGGAATTTCTTTTTGTATTCCACATCTAGCCCATTCAAAGCAAGCCTGACAAATTTGACTTCAGGGAGAGGTACTCGACACCAGTTTCTGGCCGATTTAAACCTTGTAAGATAATCCATCGGTGACTCGTCAGATGCTTGAGTCATCTTGGCCAATGAAGAAATTGACATTTCCATTCCCAACAGATAAAATTGCTCATGGAATTTTTTGACTAGTTCCTCCCAACTTTGGATGGAGTTAGGTGATAGGTTGATGTACCATGCAAATGTTGAGCCCGTCAACAAAAAGTTGAATAGTCGCAGTTTATGGAAGTCACTATTAGCATCCTCACATTGCGCAATGAATTGAGCCACATGTTCTAACGAGGATAGGGACGATTCTCCAGCAAAAAGGTTGAAGTCTGGGATTTTAAAGCCTTTAGGATATTCAAACTTTTCTACATAAGCTGGGTATGGATGGATGAATTTTGGGAACTTCGGCCCCTTTTTCAAAGCCGAATCGATCATCCTTTGGACCTCGACCATATCGACGGATGTTTCTGCTCTCTGGTCGGATCTGTCTGATCTACTGCTTGATCCTCCTTTTTTTTCCAAGTCGATCATTTTGGGACGAGCAGATCCTGTTTCGTCCTATATCGTTGGTAGCAGATTATTCTTAGGTGGAAGTTGTCGAAAACGATCGTTCGATCCACCTTTGTAGGCCTTATTAACCTGTAGTTTGAGGTACCTATTATGTGTAGTACTGCTCTTAGCTATTTCCTCAAGTACTCAGCTAAACATATGTTTAACGTGCCGAGATTGTTCTTTAATTTGTCTCCGAAGAAACGATCTAGTTGGTGGATCGGTACCTTCATCATCCTCGTCCCAATCTTCTAATATCTTTTCAATTAAAACGCCTTTGGTTTTGTTAGGGATTTTAGCATTGTGAGGCTGACCGCAGAGACAAACCTCATTTTCTCAGTGTGTCGTGCTTGTGGCCTCAGGTGTCGTGGCAATCAGAAGATTCTATGCCTGTGACGAGTCATCTGAGTTCTAGATTGGAAGGTTGGTCGTGGACTTTCCCATGAATGTTTTTTTTTTAACCGATCGTGCCTCAATGGTCATGAACTTTGTAGTTTTAGCATTAGGTCCCACCGAGCGTGCCAAAATGTTGATCTTAAAAACTACCAAGTCTACGTGATGCGCAGACCAAGTAATCAATAACCTAACTACGTCCTTCGATTATGTACGGGGCGTGCAACTCAACCGATGAGTAAAATATGTGGATGTGGCGTTGAGCGCGCTGTTAACTTCTTGATCTTGCGACTGCGGCTGATGAAGGAACACGCATCGGCCTTTGAGTTCTAAAGCCTGAAGATAAGGCTGCTAGTCTTGAAAATTTCAAAGATCGTTAGTGCTGGGTTTGGTCACGGTGATTATATTCGTAAGAGTATAAGCACGTCAAATCGACACCAAACTATACGGACACAAGTACTCGGAAGAGATGCATGTCTTGATGGTGAATGTGGTTTGACCGTCAAAATGCCGAACTCTAAAACTAACTCGTGAATATCCAATCATAAAACAACTCAGTGTTCAATGTGCCGAGCCGAGTAATTTGTAACACCTCACTTCCTGAGAAAGCTAATGAGATGACCTTTGCCAATAAGAACTCAGAAATCTTTCTTGACCAAGACTTGGATAGGTAACCAGTCGGCCTCGACGCATTACTGTTTATCCAAACTGAAGGTGCTCCGCGATCGGCTGACTCTACAGCAACAGTGCTGTTTATCCAAACTGAAGATGTCACCGATTGCCTTCACAATGGTGTTTATCCAAACTGAAAATGTGTTGGTGGAAAAAGAAAATAAAAAATCTCAAGGTTGTTGAGAGGTTTTGCGTAGAGCTGAGTGTTTGCGCAGGGCAGTTTGTGTGCTGAATTGGAAAGACTTTGAATGATGCATTTCTTCCTCTATTTATAGCAGTGAACCTACACCTGGCCGAATCAGAGATGTACTCAGACTAAAACTCCTTACCCCAATCTGATTATGATTCGGCTAATCCTAGTTCCAATAAGTTTCTGAACTAGGCTCTATAATGAACCAGATTTAGTCCCTGATTATCAATGCCTTCAGCTTTAAATCCCCTTGTGGTGTCAGGATTCAACCCTCACCTTTATCCAAACCAATCCTTCTCAAAAAAGGACTTGGCCGAATTCGATTGGACAACCTATAGTGACCTAGTTGCCCATGAGACCCCTGGAAGACCACTGGGCTGAGAGTAGCTCCAAACTCGTCCCAAATTATCATTTTGGGGCCAAACAGGTTTGTTTGGAAGTGCTTTTAAAATGATTGAAAGTGGTTTTAGAAGAAATGTTTTTTTTTTGTTACAAAAGTACTTGAAGTGCTTTTTTCAGGATTTTTGCTAGGATTGGTTCTAAAAATATTTTTATGAAAAGCTCTTTTAGTAATTTTTAAAACAATTTCAAACGAGCCATTAATGTTTAGTTAATCATAATGGTTTTTTTTTTTTTTTAACAAACGATATTATCTACATTAAGAGGGAGGGAGTGGACTTAGCCTTATAATGGGCTAGCAATAATGTTGTTCAAACTTGTCTTTAGCGAGAATCAAACCTAAAACCTCTTACTTACAAATGAAGAGGAATACCACTAGACCGTAATCCCAAGTGACTAATCATAATGTGTTTATTAATTTCTCTCCTTTTCTTTTAACATTAACCACTGTTGATCAATTTGGTTCCTTGATGAGTGAGATTATTGATGGAGGCCCACAAATCCATCAAGCATAAACAATCTTTCATACTTGGCATACACGCGAGAGAGAGAGAGAGAGAGAGAGGGTTTAATTAGTTGGGTTGCTTTTGACAATTCTAATTTTCACTCAATTGCACCTTTTACATAATGGAAAGTAAAAGAGAGATTCCGTAGGCCAATGTTTGCTACCAAAAAAATTTGGCGAGTCTAACTTCATTAGCTTTGTGCTTTTTCCTCCTTTACCCAAAGCGAGCGAGTTGCAGCCAGGACTTGCACAGTCTCGACCAACCCTTGATTTGTGCTACATAATCTTCTCTAATGGATGGACCATTTTTAGTCGCCGAGTAATTCGGCAATTTAAACCAATCAAATTGGCAAGCTAGGTATTCTTCTTCTTTTAATATTCAAATTAGAATCTCTTTAATCTAATTGATGGATGCCGTGTTGATTAGGGTTTTCTTTTTTAACTCATAGCGTTCTGGTTTCACAATTTTTCTCCTTTCTTTTAGCGTAGATTATCACTTGTATTAGAATCTCTGTACATATTCTTATGTTAAATAAGAAAACTAAAAAGTCATCAAAGGTCTTAAGTTTTTATCTTTGTTTGAAAGGAACACTAACCTCGAGAGTTAAAACACACTAAAGATGGCTGTGCATCTTCAAGAGACAAGTAAAATATATTTGAGGAAAATATGTCATTTGATGGCCTATTTATCACTTAGCTTCTAAAACATCACTTTATTAATTATTTGCATGCATTCAGTTTGATCGCAACTCAAGTTCTTGCTAGTTAGTTTTTCTCTCGAAGCGATCTTCTTCTAGTTGCGGGACGAGATTCAACATATCTCAATTGGGTTTCTATGACAGAGCAGTTTGTTCAACTGCTTTCTTTCTTCTTTCTTTCTTTTTTTTTTTTTTTTTTTTGCCCGCACAAAGTTATTTCACCCCTTTTTTCTTGTCATGGCAGATTAGCTAAACAAAAAAATAGAAAAGAAATTCGATATCTAAATGAGATGCCAAATTCTAGGTGGAGATATGACTACAAATTTGACATAATTTCCAACTGAAGTGTTATTTGCTAACTCGATTTGATGCCCTTGTGTCTAGGAGTCAAATTTGACATCAACGTCAATTGTTTTTATTAATTTAATGGTAGATCCCTTATTCTACTAACATTTGAACCAATAAAATTCTATTTCAACAAATTAATAAATATAGCCATTTAAAGCTCTACATTAATAATATATATATATATATATATATATATATATATTTGACAACTCGATTGGAGAAACACAAAATTTAGCATAAGACTTCAAATTGATACATCAACCATCAATTAAAATTCGACTCTAATAATTTGACATGTCCATTGTAGATGGTCTAATGTTAGTGGATAAAAAATAAGTGAACAACATTAATATATCTCAATCCTTAAATAAACTACTCTCATTAGCAAGATAAACAATATTATAAAAAATAATTGTGTTGAATACTGTCGGTTAGATATATGATGATCGCAACTCCTTAATTTTTGTAGAACGATTGCTTAGTTTTTGTACGTAGAAAGATAAACATGCAGTGATAAGCTAAGGCATCATAAGTGGTACCCTACCCATGCATGGTGTTCCACCATGCACATGGCAACTCACATGCAATGTGATGTATCTTGTAGCTCGATGGTCACCTCCCAACCAATGTACAAGTACCCTTCCCTTCTTCTCTTGCGATGGGGTTGGAACATTGGCTAAAGTTAAACTAATTAGGCCATGGAAATTGGAATACACACACACATTATCCGAACTAATGGAAGTTTTTTGTTTGAACGAACAATATTATCTACACTAAAATGGAAGAAGGAGGGGAGGGGGCTAAGCTTAGTCTCACAATATGCTAGTGATAATGTGACTCAAATACATTTTTGGTGAGAATCAAGCTTAAGACCTCTCATTTACAAATAAAAATGAATACTATTGGACCGTAGTACTAAATGACAAATGGCCAAATCAATGGGATTATTTGCGAGACAATATTAAAGTTTTGCAGCTATCAACGCATGAATATGTAGCGGCATTATGAGTGGTTGTGCACGAATGATGATCGAGATCATTACATGATATAATGTTTCCCATGTGCTGATGTGCACCATTTTCTGTATTTGCTGGGGTCATCAAATATGTGGTCCACTTATCAGATACGTTAACCCTAACACTAATCTGGTTTTTATTAAAAAAAAAGAATCTAATATGGTTTTAAAACCTTGTTATATTGGCAAGACGTGGAGATTTTCTTTAAGTGAAGCATGAAAAATTAAGTAAGACTGGTTCATCAGTAATAATCAAGCATTTATGCTCGCCTCTCTTCACTTTTTATTTATTTATTTGCAATATATGAATTTTTATTTTAAAGTGAAACAAACAAAGATTAGGTAAGATTAGCTCGTAAAAAACAATCAGGCATCTACACCCATCCCTTTCTCACTAATTTTTTTTAATTTGCAATACATGGATAAAGAGTCTTCTCATGATTTCGGCCTTCTCAATCATTGAAGGACAATTATTTTCTCAGGGAAATATATATAATTTTTTCTCTTAATAGTTTTAATATATATTGTCAAAGATTAATATATTTATTTACTTTGAAAACAATTGTAGTGTGTATGTTGGGACGACGAAGGAAACAGTATTCATGAGTTGAAAAAAAAAACAGTTGATCAGGATCTATTTTTTATTTTTTTTGTTCCTATTTTCTTTGCTCTGGGAGAGGATATGTGTCTCGCACGTGGCCATTGCTGAAGAGCTAATTTAATCTAATCTTTCTCTAATTGGAAAATAAATAGATAATTTAATTTCTAAAGTCAACTTGTTATGTGAAAGGTAAGCCGGAATGTATGTCATTCAACTTATTATTAAATCCTTTAGTTTTTGTTTTTTGGTAAATTATTAAATCCTTTACTGGACATGCATTAGAGGGGATTGTTCCATTGTTCCAGGCTGTAAGAAAATAAGTTTGATGGAGAGTGATTGATATTCTTCTATGATTAATCCTTTGATTAAGGCGTGGGATCAGAAAGTTAGAACTATTCTGTTCAAACTTTATATATGGATGATGAGTATTCACGACGTATTTCGCCAGGTTCTCGCAAGAATGTACGTGAAACTCATTTTACATGCATGATAGGTCGTCTCACAAGAAAGATAACGTGCAAGACTCATTCGACGCTTCAGCGCTACACCGTTCAGTCGTAGTTATACTTCAGTGTTAAGTGTTTGAAATCCCTAAATTTTTTTTTTTTTAACAAAAATGTGAAACTTCGATTGATTAATTATGTTTCTCAAAGCTAAAATCAGTAGTACTTTAGGACGAGGTGGTACACCACGTGACTGGAACACGGAGTGATACACCACGTGTCACTATATAAATAGTAGGATATGTGTTAAAAAGTTAAATAACTTAAAATATAAAATTTCTCACCACTTACATAAAAATACGTGGTGTAACACCAGTGTTCCCGTCACAATGAAAAATTTCTCCTTTAGGACAAACCCAAAACGAAGCAAGCATGGATGTTTAGGTATTTAAATGTCTGGTGTGTTTTCGTATAATCCCCATCCTTATCTATGAAGTTAGTTTGCTTCCCTACATGCTTCAATGCAGTGTAATATTATTACGTGTCTAATCCAACAACATGTCATTCTCGTTGGACGTGAAATTGGCTTTCGTTTTCCTTGTAACCATTTTGTGGGTTCGATGGGGCACAGCCACATATGCATGCAACTATAGCACATGTGACCTAAGGAACCCCAAATTTTCCAAATTGATCTGGCTATATATATTACTTCAGAGCTGGTGAGATAATTAAAAAGGGCTCAAGAACTAAGGAATTAATATATATCTTCTGCTCTAACCGATTTACAACACCTAATTATTGCTTGTGGAGTTAGTAATATTAAATGGTAAAGATTGTTGAATAATGTAGACTCTCACGTTCGAAACGTATATCGACGTCATTTGTATAAAATCACAACTAATTACATTTTTGAAAAAAAAGAAAAAAAGAAAAAGAAGCGATAGAGCTCTCTCAAACCGGTCATGTTCCTTCATTCACCCTTTACTAGTAACTTTTTGTGAAATGAAGATAAACTTTTAGACCGAACATGTTCCACTACCGTCATTGATATTGTCCTTAATTTAACTATTTATTACTATGTATGTGATTTTATCACAAATTGTTTCGGTGATATTAGCAATTAACCGTTGGAGAACAATTCAAAAATAAATAAAAATAACAGAACTCAAAATTAAAAAATTTTATTAATCAAAATACTTGATGTGCAGAATGAAATACAGAAATAAATACAAGAATATCAATGGTACTAACTTGATTACAACAGGTACAGGCTAGTGCAAAAGCTATGTCCTTCGAACAGTATTTCCGTCCCACTCTTGTACTTGTGGTTCTACGACGTCTACTCGACCATAATACAACTACCTAATTCTACAACCCGTACTGGATTATAGAATTCTAGCGAATTGCTTTGTGTGTTCACTCTCTGAGAATTGTGTACAGAAGAAAAAGAGGAAGAAAGGATGATCTCCAATGGAACTGAGGGCTCTAGTTATATAGGCTCTTTCATACCTCTTCAAATACTTTTTGGATGTATCTGAAGCTATACAACTCTTTCCAAAGAGTTGTATCTATTAATCAAAACGTTTTTAATTAATTTTAATTAAAAACTTAATTCGAAAATTAAAATTAATTGATCAGATTAATTTTAATTCTTAGGCCCCAAGTGCCCAAGGCCCAAGGCCCTTGTCTTGATTAATTAATATCAATTAATATTAATATTATGGTATAATCATCAAGCCTAATCCACACAACTAGTGGCCCAAGCCTCAATTCTCATTCCAAATGGTCCAACATCTAACTAATATTGTAGAAGACAAAACATATATAAAGGTCGTTGGGAATCTTATTTTCCTAGATGTGGGACAAGAGTCTCAAAACTCTAACAATACCCCACATTTTGAGACGATTATTTGGTCCTAGAGAAACTGAGACACGAGAGTAAACAATGGATGTGACATACATTAGGAGAGGTGTCTTTTGGACTTGAACCTACCTTAGTATATACTTATTGGATTTACTAGATGACGCAATGAATATAAAATCTTGAACTGTTCATCTCCGCAGTAAACCAAGACAATAAGCAAAACATATGTCACACCAACACATCGCAAATTCATACGTTTGTGTTCATTTTGGTCTTTAACAAATCCTAGATTCATGAGAGCTTTAGAGAATGTAGCCATGTAATTCTCATAAATGTGACCCCACATTTACTCTCATATAGGTGATATTGATTAAGAATAGGCTGCTACTATTCCACTTGATTTACAAGTACCAATATCATTAAACTAATGTATCAAACACCATCAGCAGTCACCACACTTCTTCCATCATAGGAATGGGTATGTAAGTGTGTTTCTTCTTTGAAACTAACCAAACCAGTTCGCCTATTGAACCTAGACCATGGGATCTCCAATCAGCTAGGTTAGGTTTCTATTTGGCAGTTTCATTTTACTCTATTGGCTTTAACCCATTCCCCTCGATGTATGCTTAACTTTCTCTCTAGATAAACCTTTAGCAAGCGGATCCACAATATTATCCCTTGACTTAACATAGTCAATAGAAATTACACCACTATAGAGTCATTGCTTTATTGTATTATGCCTTCATTTAATTTGTCTAGACTTCCCATTGTATACACTATTTTTAGCTCAATATTGTGCAGCTAAACTATCACAATGTATACATATTGCCGTTACAGGTTTAGGCCATATGGGAACATCTTCCAAAAAATCTCTTAACCACTCAGCTTCTTCTCCAGCTTTATCGAGAGCTATAAATTCTGATTCCATTGTTGATCGGGCTATGCATGTTTGTTTGGAAGATTTCCATGATATTGCTACTCCTCCTAAAGTAAATACATATCCACTTGTGGATTTCGTATCAATACTATCGGATATCCAATTCGCATCAATAAATCCTTCAAGCACAGGAGGATACCTTTTATAATGCAATCCATAATTCATTGTATGCTTTAAATATCTCAATACTTGAATTAAAGCTTCCCAATGACCATGCCTAGGATTGCATGTTTTCTACTCAGTCTACTCACTGAGTATGCTATATCAGGCCTTGTATAGTTCATAATGTACAGAAGGCTTCCAATAACTTGTGAATATTCACGTTGCGATATAGCATCACCACTATTTTTCTTTAGTTTGCTATTGGCATCAAAAGGAGTAATTGTATCTTTACTTTCCAAATGACCATACTTTCTAAGTGTTGCTTCTATATAATGGGATTGTGTAAGAATATAACCTTCTTGGTTTCTTTTGATTTTTATACCAAGAATCACATCAGCGAGACCAAGATCTTTCATATCGAAACTTGATTTCAATATCTTCTTGGTCCAATTTATTATCTCTTTGTTAGTTCCCATTAAAAGCATATCATCACCACTACAATATATGTTATCACCGTCGGAGCAAAAACCGACGAGAAATCCGATTTCTGTCGCAATTTTGGCAAAAATGCGACATAAAACAATGTAATGTCGCATTTTCAAAGCGACACTATTGCTAGCGTCACGAAAGGGCTTTAGCGTCGGTTTCGTGGCTTAAACCGACACTAAGCAGCGTCGCTCTAAAGCGACACTAAAATTAACGTCGGTTTAAAGCGACACATACTTACACGTTACGTCGCTTTAAGGCGACGTTCATAAGCAATTTATTGTAAAATATAAATCCTACTGACGCTTTTAAACGACACTGAAATAATATTAAATCAATTTAATATCCCATAAACCGACGTCAAATAACAATTAAATAAATAAAATATGCAAACGAATAACGGTCTTAACCGACACCACCTTTGTTAATAATAATAAAAAAACCAGACAAACCGCATTCTTCTTCAATTCATTGTAACAGAAAAAAATTATATAATTATATTAATAAATTTCAAGGCCAAAATAAACATTAATGAAAATAATTAAAAAAAAATAGTGCCAAAATACACAAATATTGTACATCTAACGTTGACTTAATATATAAAAACCCATCCGTCATAACAACTACTAAATCCGACATTACAAACATAACATAAAAAAACAAAAAAGATAGAACGATTAAAGTGTCATATTTATCCGACAAGAAAGCGAACCAAATAAACTACGGAACCGAATCTGCGCCTGAACGTGGCACAGATCCTTCTCGTCCTTGAGGTCCTATATTTGATGCCAACATCCTCGACAAGTCCACATCAGATCCAACACCCGCAAGCATTTCAGCAAACCCCCCAGCTGGAAATTCAGGACAAGGAGCAGCCATCTCGGGTCGATATACTGGCACTTGATAAGGCGTCTCCTGCATGTAAGGCATGGGAGGCTGCTGCATGTATGGCATAGGCGGCTGCTGCATGTATGGCGTGGGCTGCATAGGCATCGGATACATAGGATACGGAGGTTGCTGATTATAGCCAGCATACGGATATGCAGGGGGCGGCTGACTTTGACCCGACTGTTGAGGAGGAGGAGGCTGACTCTGGCCTGACTGTTGGGTTCCCGGGCTAAACGGTGGTTGTGGTTGTGGTTGTGGCTGAAATCTTTGGAAAAGCCACGCAAACATCTGACTTTGCTTGTTCTCTAGGTCCGAAATCCGTTTATTGTTATTTTCGTCCCTCAATTTCAACTCATTATTTTGAGTCATCAGCAATGCCATTGCACTGTTAGATGACCTCTTGGAGGAAATTGATGTAGAAGACGAAGAAGATGCATAGGACACCATATCAGGAGTCACCCCATGCCCGTATCCTCTGACTCTATTATACCTCTCAGGACCCATTGTATCAAACATACACTTGGGTCCTAAGATCTTCATTATCCTCTTGCCCCGACTGAATCAAAGTTTGCAGACTGCTCTCCATTGTTGCCTAGCATTACAATTTTTTAAAAATAAAAATTCAATCGTAAAACAGAAAAATAAGCTATAGATAATAAAAATGAATAACAATGAAATACCAAAACAGTAAAATAAATTACCCCTGTACGCTCCGATTCTTCATCAATCCAAGTTTCATTTTTTCGTGTATGACATTCACGAAAAAAGGTTACAGGATCGGCTTCTTTCCCATGCTTCTTCCGCTTTACCAAAAAAAAAATTTCACACAAACAATTTTAGGCAAACCTCGTTAAAATTAAAATTTATAACTATAGAATATTTAAAATAACATTTCTTCAAATTGTACAATCCATACATATTCTTGCCGCTTTCTTGCAAAAGATTTTGTACCAGTAGTATGGTTCATTGTTTTCTTTTGCCGATTAATCTTGTTTTTTTCAGCAACCTCCTGAAAATAAAAATAAAAAAATTATTACACAAATTTATAGTTATAACGAAATAAACTACATCGTTTACCTTTGTTTTATCTCCACTCCAGTATGCCAACAAATTACCCCACTGGGTAGGATTCACATCAGGAGGAGGCTGGCGACGCTCCTCTGCAGCTCTGTTCGTATAATACTTTTTTTTTAACTTATTTCTAAACTCCTTATGTGCATGCTCAGCAACCTTAAGAGTCATAAAGCGGATCAAAGGCAATCTTGGTATATCAGCATCTTCAAAAACAATATTTCCCTACATCCATAAAAAAAAAAAAAAAAAAAAAAATCAACCAAGTCAAATATTATAACAATGCTTAATCTTACGCCAAGTCAAATATTATAACAATGCTTAAAAAAATCAACCAAGTCAAATATTATAACAATGCCTAAAAAAAAAAATACCTATACCTTAATTCTATTCCAGAAAGCTTCCTTATCTACATCCTTAATCTTACGCCAATGCTTCGCCAATGGGAGAATTCTGTGGTCTCTAACCTCCGATGCCACATATTTTGAAAATGCACTAGAGTTATCACTAACGCATTTTCCGGACATATCAAAAGAACAAAGCTGTTTCGTCCATTTGGGAACTGAGGGTCCTCGCCTCCGTTGAGATGTTCCTTGTTCATACAAAAACCACGATTAAAACAAACCAAAAAAGTTGGAAACAGATGTAAATTTTCAATTTATAAGAATAATAGAAGATTAAACACCAAAAAAAAAAAAAAAACGAATCTAATAATAATAATATAGAAAAATAACCAGCTTCGACCTCCTCCTCTTCCACATGAAGTTCCTCATCACATTGAGAATCACTACTACTATCCATAGCAAAACCAAAGGAATCACGGAAGAAATGAGGAATACAGAAGATGGAGAAGGAGAGGGAGTGAAATGAGGGAGTGAAGGGGGTGAAATGAGAGAGACGGAAATAGGTCGTAGAAGCTTAAATATGCCAAAATACTTAGCGTCGAAATATGCAACCATTACGTCGCTTAAAAGCGACACAACCTCTGACACACTTTTGACTAGCGTCGAAATAGGGTAATATGGCGTCGAAATAGAGGACAATTACGTCGGTTTAAACCGACGTTCTGCTGATAGACAGTAATTCCAGTGGCCTCGGAATTGGACGTGTGAATGTGACCGAGGCGTCGAAATATGGAACCATTACGTCGCTTCAAAGCGACACAACCTCTGACACACTTTTGACTAGCGTCGAAATAGGGTAATATGGCGTCGAAATAGAGGACAATTGCGTCGGTTTGAACCGACGTTATTCTGACAGACAGTAATTGCAGTGTCCTCGGAATTGGACGTGCGAATGAACCGAGGCATCGAAATAATAAATGCCTGCGTCGAAACAATAACTGGTTGCGTCGGTTTTAACCGACGTATTAATTGTTGCGTCGAAATAATAAGTGGTTATGTCGAAATAATAAGTAGTTGCGTCGGTTCAAACCGACGCCACTACTTATTATTTCGACGCAACGATTTATTATTTCGATGCTTCGCACGTCCAATCTTCCAATCCATTTCCCCGTGCAAAAAAAACCGGGAAAATTCCCGCCCAACAAAAAAATAAAAAAGAGTTTAACTAAAAAAAAAAAATGGAAACGCAGGAGACAAAAAAAAAATAGTTAAACCCAAAATTAAAAAATAAGCAGTTATGTTATTTCATATAATATTTTAATATATAAAATTTAACTTATACATAATACTTAATAAAAATAGAAATATAATTTTAGGATCATTTTGATATAGATGCCTTATATTTGAATTTTTTTAATCAAACATATATAATTTTGAAACTTTTGATCAAACATTGTTCGGTTAATTTATAATTAAAATTTTGATTTTTATTGTAAATAATTGATCACCTAGTTCATAAAATAGTATGATAAATATTCTAAAATCACCATAAACATCCAATCTTATCTTATCATTATTTGTTTAAAATGAATTTTTCTTATGCAAATAATTTGTTGTATTAAATTATAAAAACATATAAACATCATATTAACATACAATTATGAAATATAACATGCACAAATATTAAATATAACGTACCAATTTGTATTAATCTGGGTATAACACAAGATTTTGTGATATCCACTAGTGTAAATATATCAAATTGAAGATCGCATTCATTCACCGTATTCATATAGGGTGAAGGAGTGTACATATAAAAAATCATCAAAATCGGAGTTAAAATAACCGTTAAATCGTGATTTTTCGTTAATAACCGTCGAATAAGTTTTTCCCGTTACTTTGTCTCAGAAAGTTGTTTTTTTTGCAATTTTTGGCGTATGCGATCTCGAATTATATACAAACATGTTTGACGGTTCGATCGTTGAAACTAGTTTCGTAGAATTCGTATTCCATCAAAACGATACATTCACTAACACTTAAAGAGTTTATTCATACTTTCATTAAGTATAACCAAGGAAGAAAAAATTGATAATATCGGCGATATTTCGCCGATATTATCGTTTTTTTGGAGTTCCGATATTTTTTTAACTATCCAAATAATTTTCGTCAAAATATCGCGATATTTTTAAAATTATCGATAATATCGTAATATAATATTCAAAAATACTTTAAAATGTTGAGAAATCTCAACATATACTACACTTGATCAAAGCCCAAAGGCCAACCAAGGCATGCTTTTCTCAGCATGTGAATGTGCCTTTTATAGGCGTTCTTGGCTTGCTCACTGCCCTCGCTGGGCGATGTGGGACTCAACCAAGGAAGAAAATAGGAATTTCGGCCGAAAATCCACACCCACTTTAAACGGCCATAACTTTGTCAAAACTCAACAAAATCAAGCAAGACAAAAACGAAAGCCTCGAAGAGACGAAGAGAATGGTACCTCACACGACGTCTGAATCGTCGTGGTTTGGCCGGAAAATGCCTCGAAAGTCACTGAGGTCGCCGGAAACTGGGTAAGATTCAAATGAGTATACATTTTTCAATACTCAACGAAATTGAGTGAAACAAAAAGGAAAGTTGTACTACTCGACGAGACGAAGAGATTGATACCTTGCACACCGGCCAAATCGCCGTGGTTTGGCCGGAAATTGCCTCGAAAGCCACTGAGGTTGCCGGAAACTGGGTAAGATTCAAATGAGTATAACTTTTTCAATACGCAACGAAATTGAGTGAAACAAAAAGGAAAGTTGTAGCCCTTGAAGAGACGAAGAGAATGGTACCTCATACGACGTCTGACTCATTGTGGTTTGGCCGAAAATTTCCTCGAAAGCCACTGAGGTCGCCGGAAACTGGGTAAGATTCAAATGAGTATAACTTTTTCAATACTCAACGAAATTGAGTGAAACAAAAAGGAAAGTTGTACTACTCGACGAGACGAAGAGATTGATACCTTACACGCCGGCCAACTCGCCGTGGTTTGGCCGGAAAACCAAAACGTTTTGTCTCAAGGGCTGATACATGTGAACTTGTGACTCTAACTAGGTAAGAGCCAGATCTAATTTGGGGCCTTCTATCCTATATTTGTGGACAACCATCAAATGCTAAAGATTAAACAAACATAATATGTTCTACTGCTTAGCAAAAAAAGCTACAAACCCTTTGCTTATCAACAAAAAAAGACAAGTCCTTGCACTAGATATACTTTCAAATTACGTTGAGTAGCAACCTGATATATGTATTCGGACGAATTATAAAACAATTGACACACTCCTGACTTCCAAAATTCAATTCTTTTACTTTATATAAACTTGAAAAAACATAATCGGCATCCAAATTAAAGTTTAGTCTTATTCAATGTATTGATTTTCAATCGTTAATTGATATACTATAATTTGGAACTTCAACGCCTAGACGCATGCTTATCTGTAAGAAATTTAAAGTGTCAAATTCGGCACATTATTCTTCATCATTTTATTCACTTCCTTTTTTTTTTTTTTAATATCCTAAATAAAACCTCCAAATATTGTACTAATTCATTATATATAAATGATTATGGTGTGTTTAGACTTCTTTCATTAATTACTACATATTTTCTACACTCACAATGTTTGTCAGCTCGCTATATAATCAACTTGATAATGTTAAATCCATCATGCAATGCATTTCTTTCCAATTTTTTGTGAGAAACTAATAGATAATTGACTAAATAAACATCCTACAAAGTTTCAATAAAAATTTCCAAGTTTTTCTTACAATTTCCGTGGTTTCCATGTAATTTTTATCGATATCGATATTTTACCGATATTTCCATCGATATTTCCGTGTTTTCGGACTACCGATATTTCCGATATTACCGATATTTTCTTCCTTGAGTATAACACAAGATTTTGTGATATCCACTAGTGTAAATATTTCAAATTGAAGATCGATCGTTTTTTAGGGGTATAAAATTGTTAAATAAAAGAATTTAATATATATATATATATAATTATTATAGTTTTTAGAAGTATAAAATTGTTAAATAAAAAGAAAAATAGTGTAATTAAGAGCTCAAAAAATTTCGTGAACTAATAAGAAAAAATAAACATCCTTTCTTCGCATTAATACAAATAATTCACAACAGGTTTTTATCTTGCGTCGAAATAGACTGACATTGCGTCGGATTCAACAGACGTAACATGACGGTCTGCGTCGAAATAATCTTTGGTTGCGTCGAAATAAGCTTCATTGCGTCGGTTAAAACCGACGCTAACTGAATGAAAAAAACCGGGAAAAGTGCCGCCCAAAATATTTTAATTAAACCGACGTCGGTTAAAAGCGACAGGAAACAAGCTAAAAAAAAAAAAAATTTATAACCCAATATTAAAAAAAAAGGTTTAACTTATATATATAATACTTAATAAAAAAAATAGAAATATAATTTTGATAATAAGATATCATAACATACGAAATGAAAGATAGTATAATTAATACATAAAATAATTAACATATTTATTCTCCGTCATCATCTGTTAGCTCATCGTCGACATTGGCATGATTAACGAACTCGGTAGGCAACGCTAATGATTCAAGAAAAGGAGTCTCTTCCACGCCAACCCTTGTATGAAAATTTTCATTATCAAGAATTCGATCATCCAAATTCGGTATGGCATAATCATCAATAGCATCACTATCCTCTAGTACGTCAAACAAATCCCTCGGCTGAGTTCGAACAACTACGTGCCAATCTTTTTCAATTGTGTCCTCCACGTAAAATGCTTGTAATGCTTGTGATGCTAGTATGAAAGGATCCTCTTTAACTCCCAATTGATTGAAATTCACCATAGTAAATCCATATTGATCGGTCTTCATTCCTCGTGGACTTTCACTATTAACCCATTCGCACTTAAATAACATCACAGCTCGACCCCTATCTCCCGCCTCAGTAGGACCACAATATTTAACCTCGAACATATCAACAACTCTGCCATAACAATTCACTTGCCCAATTGCTCCAGGAACATTTGCAGGTACAAAGACACCACAATTTTGATTCTTATGCTTATCATCCACAGATTTTATACGAAATCTAAACCCATGAACAATGTGACTTTTATATCTACTCACAACCCTACTAGGATAATTAGCCAGCCAATGCAAGTCTTCAGATATCAACGTGTCATTAGCATGATAGCTTGAATTCATCTGTAATAAGTATGAAGATAAAAATTGACAGAATAACTATAACATGTTATAATTAAAATGCAAAAACAATAAATAAATAATGTGATTGTTATATCAACTCACATGTTGCTTGAACCATTCTGGAAATTCTTTCTTGCTTAGCTCCTTAATTTGGCGCATAGTTAACCTTTCTCGACGATGTTTAGTTTTCAAGAATTCCTCATGTTGGCTACACAATTATGTCCAAATTTAGATAATTAATTTTTCAAAGTTAAGAAAATCAATAAAACATTAAAACGTATGATTAAACGTTCTTACCTTCTAAATGGGTTCACTTCATCACAATTATTTAGAATGTATCTATGGCACTGATCAAGAGCATTTAGATCGAGCTCCACATGTTCTCCTGAACCCATATAACATCCTTTGGAGTCAAAAATTGATAATCCATCAGACACTCCACGTCCAATACCATCTTCATTTCGGCCTCTACGGGTACGACGAGACTCGACACCTCTAAGATACATGGAACAGAAGGACAAGCACTCATCCACCAAATATGCTTCAGCAATAGAACCTTCAGGACGACCCTTATTACGAACATAGCGCTTCAACGTTTGCAAATACCTATAATTATAAACGAAACACAAACAATTATAATTATAAATTAAAGTTATGACTACAATTGTAAAAAATTTATAAAAAATTATTAATTACCGTTCAATTGGATACATCCATCTATAGGGAACAGGCCCTGCAAGAGCTGCTTCATCTGCCAAGTGAACTGGAAGGTGCACCATTATATCAAAAAATGTAGGAGGAAATATTTTTTTAAGTTGACATAATGTCAAGGCAATTCTTGAACTCAGTTCCTTGAATCCTTCCTCAGACTCCTTCTTACTACACAACTGTCTGAAAATTGCACTCAACTCTAATAATACCATAGTAACAGCTTTAGGCAAAACCGGGCGTATTGCAAGCGGGAGTAACTGCTGCATTAAAACATGGCAATCATGACTTTTCAACCCATGTATTTTTCGTTCATTCACATGCACACATCGCGATAAATTTGATGAATATACATCGGGGACCCGAATAGTAGACAACACATTGCAAAACGCAGTTTTTTCTTCTCTTTTCAACGTGAACAAAGCTGGAGGTAGAAATGTTCTATTTCCTTCTCTACGTGGGTGTTGACTGCGTCTTATGTTCAAGACTTCAAGATCTGCACGTGCAGCCAATCCATCTTTAGACTTTTCTATACCTAGCAATGTTCCCACCACACTGTCACATATATTCTTCTCGATATGCATAACATCAAGATTGTGTCTAATCAACAGATGCCTCCAATAAGGTAGTTCATAAAAAATAGATTTCTTCTTCCACTGACTGTTACCACTTGTACTGCTCGAAGTTCTTTTTCTGCGTTGCCCAACTGAAGCATTTTTCTTTGGTTTTGCAAAAGTAAATCTCAATGTACAAAGTTCTTCGAGACATTGTAAACCAGTCCACTGCCTTGGTGCACTACGATGCTCTCGACGACCATTAAAAGCTGTGGTTTGCCTTCGAAACCTATGAATATCTTCAAGAAACCGTCGATGTCCCATATAACAAATTTTACGACTCGCCGGCAAGTAAATGGATTCTTTATCATGCATGCAATGTGGACATGCTTTATAGCCATGTGTACTCCATCCTGACAACATTCCATAAGCCGGAAAATCACTTATAGTCCATAAGACAGCAGCCTTCATCGTAAAACTTTGGTTGGAATACGCATCATAAGTTGGAGTGCCCACCTCCCACAACTCATTCAACTCGTCAATCAGTGGACGCATGTATACATCAATCTCTTTACCAGGACTGCGCGGTCCTGGTATTAAAAGAGACAACAACAAATTTGGTTGCTACATACACATCCAAGGCGGCAAATTGTAAACAGAAAGCACCACATGCCATGTGCTATGATCATTCCTCATTTTTCCAAAAGGATTAAATCCATCACTGGCCAACCCTAATCGAACATTTCGAATTTCTGACGCAAAATCCGGATATAAATTATCCAAATGCTTCCATGCTGGAGAATCTGAAGGATGTCTCATAAACTCATCTTTAGGACATTCAACTGCATGCCACCTCATATGTTCAGCCGTATGCTTCGACATAAAAAATCGTTGCAATCGTGGTTTTAAAGGAAAATACCACATAACCTTAGCTGCGATCTTTTTTCTCGACCTATCCGCTGCGTTGGTAATTTTATATCTTGATTCACCACAAACCGAGCACACGGTCAAATCCGAAGTATCTTTCCAATAGATCATGCAATCATTGGGACATGCATCAATTTTCACATACGTCAGACCCAAGTCATTTATAAGTTTTTTTGCCTTATAACATGATTCAGGCAAACAATCCCCTTCAGGCAACATTCTTTTAATTAACTCCAGTAAAGTTGTGAAGATGTCGTCTGGCATTCCCGCTAAACACTTGATCTGATACAGTCTTACAACTGCTTCTAATTTCTTAAACTCCTTACACCCTGGCCACAAATCTTGATCTGCCTCTTCAAGCAACCTAAAAAAAGTCTCCACCTCTTCTGGACGCCCTTCCCCAATAGACGGTTCAGTAGACGGCCCAACACATTCTTCTGTTAATGGTTGGACAAATACATCATTAAGAAAGTCCTGCATGCCAATCACCTCATCTCCTGTTTCTTCTTCTCCAATTGCCACATTTTGCTCTCCAATGTTTTGCTCGCCATGATGTCGCCATCAAGCATTTTTATAATCTTTATCCATATCATACAATATGAGATGTTCAATAATAGTGTTCCTAATAAAAGTATATCGATTACAACATCTTTTGCAAGGACATCTAAACTTATCAGGACCAACACCATTTGCAACTGCTTGATCCAAAAACAAATTAATTCCAGCTGTATACGCTTCAAAATTTCGGGGTATCGTCAACCAACTCTTTTCCATGTTTTACCAGTTTACGAGGGTAAAATATTGCGCTGACACTAAGATGCCTACAATCTTGCAATCCCTATCATGTAGGCATAACTATTAGAATTTTCAATTTCTATCTTTCAACCCTCGAACTCTATCACGATTGCAATCTTTTAATTCTCAACACCTATTATAGTAAAAGCAAATTAAAATAACAACAAAAAGTTATCAAAATTATGCTCATCTAATCCATTCTAGTAAATAACAACCAAAAGTTATCAAAATAACAATAAAATAAAATAACAATTATAGTGCAAAAGTTATATTTAATATTGTTAATTTAACATAAATGCTTATTTAAATTATTCATTCCATTTTCTCATAACAATTCAAATTGTAAAAAAAATTAATTTAACATAATATATTCTTATATTACTAAAAATGATAAGTTTATGTTATATTAATATTGTTAATTTAACATAAATGCTTATAAATATTATTCATTTTATTTTCCCATAACCATTCAAATTGCAAAAAAAAATTAATTTAACATAATATATTTTTATATTACTAAATATTATAAGTTTATGTTATATTTAATATTGTTAATTTAACATAAATGCTTACAAATATTATTCATTCCATTTTCTCATAAATATTCAAATTGCAAAAAAAAATTCTTTAACATAATATATTCTTATATTACTAAATATTATAAGTTTATGTTATATTTAATATTGTTAATTTAACATAAATGCTTATAAATATTATTCATTCCATTTTCTCATAACAATTCAAATTGCAAAAAAAAAAAAATTAATATAATATATTCTTATATAACTAAATATTATAATTTTATGTTATATTTAAGATTGTTAATTTAACATAAATGCTTATAATTATTATTCATTCCATTTTCTCATAACAATTCAAATTATTCTCATCTAATCCATTCTAGTAAATAACAACAAAAAATTATCAAAATAACAACAAATTAAAATAACAATTAGAGTGCAAAAAAAATTAATTTAACATAATATATTCTTACATTACTCAATATTATAAGTTTATGTTATATTTAATATTGTTAATTTAACATAAATGCTTATAAATAATATTCATTCCATTTTCTCATAACAATTCAAATTATTCTCATCTAATCCATTCTAGTAAATAACAACAAAAAATTATCAAAATAACAACAAATTAAAATAACAATTAGAGTGCAAAAAAAATTAATTTAACATAATATATTCTTAAATTACTCAATATTATAAGTTTATGTTATATTTAATGTTGTTAATTTAACATAAATGCTTATAAATAATATTCATTCCATTTTCCCATAACAATTCAAGTGACAAAATTAATTAATTCGCCTAAATATGAATTAATTTAACAAAAATAATAGAAATTTATCTAACTACTTAAATTACAATTTTTAAATAAATAAACTTGTGTATTATACAATTTAAAAATTAAAGAATTTAGTGATAGAAACCTGAATTATAGAAGAATTCTGTCGTCGATCAATTCTTTATATACTCAACCAGCTCAAATAAATTCCCTACAACAATAAATTGTATCAAAACATTAAACATAAGAGGAGAAAATAAAAATACTACAAGCAAGAAAAACTTACCTTTGTGAAGAATGAACTTGGAAGAACTCGGAAGGTGAGACAGAGAACAGCAAAAGTTTTGTAAACCGTGAGAATGAGATAAATGCAAGAGAAAACGAAGAAAACACGGGGGAGGGTATATAAAGACCATCAGTCTGTCGCTTACAACCGACACTGGGTTTCAAAATATTTAAAAAAATAAAATATATTTCGCTTAGAACCGACGTAGGATTTAAAATATATAAAAAAATCAATTAGTGTCGCTTCTATATGCGACACCCATACTTTATGTCGCTTAAAAGCGACACTGTTTTATTTAAAGCGACGCCAGTATTTAAAATTATTAAAATGTGTGTCGGTTATAAGCGACATTAAATGTTTACGTCGTTTAAAGGCGACGCAGGCTTTCTAAAACCGACGTCATATTCAGTGGGTGTCGCAACTCTCTTGTGCGCCACTATATTATATTAAACCGACGCAACAACTGACACTATAGGGCCCTTTTGTAGTAGTGCATCTACATATAAACACAACATAACGCAAGCATTATTTTGAGTTTTTGTGTAGACACACTTATCACACTCATTTATCTTAAAACCATGTGTGATCATAATATGGTCAAATTTTTCATGCCATTGCTTTGGAGCTTGTTTAAGCCCATATAGCGATTTCACAAGTTTACACACTTTGTGTTCTTGACCTTTAACTACAAACCCCTCGGGTTGTTCCATATATATTTCCTCATCTAAGTCTCCATTTAAGAACGCAGTCTTTACATCCATTTGATGTATTTCCATCTTATGAAGTCCAGCTATAGCAATCAATAGTCTTATTGAAGTAATTCTCGTTACAGGTGAGTATGTGTCAAAGAAATCCAAACCATGTTTTTGATGGTATCCTTTAGCAACCAAACGAGCCTTATATTTGACAATTGTACCATGTTTTCTTTTTAGTTTTCTGCAATTTCGACCTTTGCTTTGATGAACTTCCTTCAACAGCATTCGCCTTGGCTTCCATACTCGAAACCAGGCTCTTCTCATTCTTTCTGTTATCTTCCTCAATTCGCAGCCTTACAATGAGATACTCAAAGGTCATATCCTTACGTTTGTGCTTGAGATAACTCTTGAACTCTTTCCAAGAAGGTGGCAATTTTTCTATAAATGATGCCACTTGGAAAGACTCATTAATCACCATCCCTTTAACATGAATGTCATGGATGATTTTCTGGAGATCTTCAGTTTGAGAGATAACAGACTTGGAATCCACCATTTTGTAGTCCAAAAATTTGCTCGCAACAAATTTCTTTGAACCAGCATCCTCGGTTTTATATTTTTTCTCAAGTGATTCCCAAAGTTCCTTGGCTGTTTTGAATACCACATAGACATCATACAACGAATCATCTAATGCATTAAGAATATAGTTTCTGCAGAGGAAATCATTATGTTTCCAGACATCTATGGCCGTTAAAGTTTCTGCAGAAAAAATATTTTCTCCATCTGCAATAGGTTCAGTCTCGCGCAGAACATTAGCCAAGTTTAGTGTTGTCAAATAAAACAGCATCTTCTGTGGCCATCTTTTGAAATCTCCGCCCTTAAATTTCTCAGGCTTCTCAGAATGAGGTTAAGTTCCTAATTGTTTCGTACTGTTCGAAGATTGTTGGAGAACAATTCAGAAATAAATAAAAATAACAAAACTCAAAATTATAAAATTTTATTAATCAAAATACTTGCAGTGCAGAATGAAATATAGAAATAATACAAGAATATCAATGGTACTAACTTGATTACAACAGGTAGAGGCTAGTGCAAAAGCTATGTCCTTCGAACAGTATTTTTGTCCCACTCTTATGCTTGTGGTTCTACAACGTCTACTCGACCAGAATACAACTACCTAATTCTACAACCCGCACTGGATTTACTCTCTGAGAATTGTGTACGGAAGAAAAAGAAGAAGAAAGGATGATCTCCAATGGAACTGAGGACTCCAATTATATAGGCTCTTTCATACCTTTTCAAATACCTTTTGGATGTATCTGAAGCTATACAACTCTTTCCAAAGAGTTGTATCTATTAATCAAAACATTTTAAATTAATTTTAATTAAAAACTTAATTCGAAAATTAAAACTAATTGATCAGATTAATTTTAATTCTTAGGCCCCAACTGCAAGGCCCAAGGCCCTTGTCTTGATTAATTAATATTAATTTATATTAATATTATGGTATAATCATCAAGCCTAATCCACACAACTAGTGGCCCAAGCCTCAATCCTTATTCCAAATGGTCCAACATCTAACTAATATTGTAGAAGACAAAACATATATAAAGGTTATTGGGAATCTTGTTTTCTCCGATGTGGGACAAGAGTCTCAAAACTCTAACATTAACCTCTCACATATAAACTATAAGACGAGACTCCTCAAACCATTGCTCAACATGAAAACATGAGATCTAATAAGTGCAAACTATTTTAGACAGGTGAAAAGATTAGAAAAGGGGTTGAAGTGATGATTGAGAGTCATTTTTAACCTAAGTGAACTCTAGGCTGATAACTTCAGACATCACACAAATATGAATAGTATGAGTTCATGTATTATTATTTTACATTGACTTGCATATTAATTAATTAATTTGTAAGTTGAGATGAACACAATACCAATTTAAATAGATAACCCGAACACAATCCATTGCCATCCCTGTCTGAGTCTGCAGGTGGTGGCAACAAGATGTTGATTGTTTTCTCTTCTGTCACCTTTCATATATGTTGCACTCGGTTTTTATTGTAAAAGAGCAAGTTTCTTCATGTTGCAACTTGCAACAAAAATAGTTTTGCATTAAAATGGAAACGAATGGCCCCAAATTGTTCCTAGCAACATAGTATCTAGCCTCTTTTTTTCCCCCTTTACTTCTTTAACATAGAATTGTATCTAGCCAACGAATGGTCATCTCACATACATACTAGCAACTTGAAGAACACAAAAATATATGAGCATCTATGGAAATAATAAATCCTAAACGAAAGCTCAATCATTTATTAGAAGAATGTCTATAGCCTATAGGACGCCGACAGGTGCACTGCATCAAACAACACATAAAATGTTGATCGTTAATTATAAAAGA